TACAGGCAGTTGAGTGGAAGTCAGACCAAACCCAAGGAGGTACATGTTATTCCAACACAAAGAATGGGAAAGAGGATAAGGGGGGAGGGAGGACACTGAGGTGGGGGAAGATGATATCATGGGGGTGGGGTGGGGAGAAAGGCACTAACCCACACAGTATTGGTTGTGTCTCCACAGAATTGGAAGTGTACAAACAGACCCCACCATGGTGCACCAAACCTTGCAGGCAACGTAACCACATGGAGAAGTGCGTGAAAGGATTGGGCTACAGGGTTAGCCCCAATCAGAGCCATGGCATGTTGGCCCCTTACTAGAGCATACTGTGACAAAGCACAATACTGGGGCACATGGTGGTGAGTTAGTCTGGTCTGAATCCATGCCTCCTACCCCCGTAGCAGGGTTAACCAAGAAGGGGATATAACAGATCAGCAGCAGAAGCAAAGCAATGCCGCAAAATCTCTAAAGAGCCCCTAAAGCAGACTTCAGGCAATAGAGCCAGCTCCCAGAATTCACCCAGACCAGTGGAGAGAGAGTCATAAAGGTCAGTGGACAAACTTGACATTTTGTATGCAATTTTTTGGCTAGTTATTATTACCATTTTTTCCCTCTCTTTTTTCAATCTTTTGTTTGGTCTATGCTATTGTTGGTTTGCCTACTTAAATAAGATAGGCATGGGAAGCAAGCTCAAGGAGAAAGCATTGGAACTGACCATCTTGGAAGGACTTGGGGGAGAAGAAGGCATGAGAAGGGAGCGGTGGGCAAACAATGCCATAGACAGGGGAACAACTAGGAAATTAAAATCAACAATAAGGAGAATACAGAGATCCTGGGGGTGTTGGAGCAACAGCAATCTAGTTGAGAAGAATTACTAAGAGGCAGAAGTAGGGCGAGCATGATGGTGGGGCAGGAGGAAGGTAAAAGGAAACAGTGGAACAATCTATGAAGCAAAGCCATGGATAGAGGTATAAGCAAAGTGTGTACATATGTAAATATATTACTTCATAAAAATAGAAGTGTGGGCCTATGTACATATATTTATATAGCAATATACTGAGGTAGTGGATGGACATCGTGCCTCTCCTCATACCCTCCCTCAATGCAAGAACACTTTGTTCTAATAAACTGTCATTCTGTGATCCTCACCCTCTCGGCACAATCGCTGAAGACAAAATGGGTGCATAAGCAAATGTGGTGAAGAAAGCAGATGGTGCCCGGTTATCAAAAGATATAGTGTCTGGGGTCTTAAAGGCTTGAAGATGGCTTGAGATTATCTAGCAGAGAAAAAAACAAGCTCACATAGAAGAAGCACATCAGCCTGTATCATCATCAGGTGTCATGGGGACTGGGTAACAGGCATCAGAAGACCCATAACAAACAAACAAAAACCAAACACATATTTTTGAGAATGAGGGGTGTCAGAGCAGAGACCCAAAGCCCATCTTTATACAATGGGACATCCCCTGACAGAAAAGGCACATGGAAGGGATGAATCAACCAGGTCTCAGTAAATCACAGATGAAACACACCATATTCCTTTGG